GGTGGAGGTGAGACAAGAAAACGAAACAGAAATAAATAAAAAAAAAAAGTTTGCGGGGGAGGGGGGAGGGGGGTGGGACGAAAAAACCAGAAAATTGAAGTTGGAGGGGTCGGGATTAGATGTGAGGGTAGGTGGAGCTTTTGGAAAATATTTTCCTAACTTTTTTTAGGAAAGTCATTTTCCTCCAATTTCAGGAAAATGTGATATTTAGGAAAATATTTTCCAAATTATTTTGTGCAACCAAACGGTGAAAAATGGGAAAATATTTTTTGTGTCATACCAAACACACCCTATATCTGTATTCTTTCAAATAACAAAAATCACCATGATCTAGCAAAACATTTATTTAGGTGATAAATAATTAAATATATATCGAGGAAACAGATATAAACTCCGCTTCAATTGCAAGGTCAGAGAGAGAACCGTTCTAAACTGAAAGTTCATATTATCATCATCATACTATAATTATTTTCGGATGGAAGAAAAAGAAACGTGTCATATAAAGTCAAATAAGAAACCTGTCGTATGCAAAATGATTAGTTTTAATCTAAATGATACTCAAAGAGTAGAATTAGAGAAGGCTAATAGTAGTATCATCACCATTGGTTTTCATGGAAATCATTGTGCTACTCACAAGAAGAATACGGTGCTGGCTTTAGATCTATACATGATATTTGTCTCACCTATGCTGCTAAAAATTGGTAGGGATTGAGAACACAACAATCCTTGTGGAGAGAGTGTATTGAGATTTGAGGCAAAGTACTGCAAAATGATACATCCTATGGCAGGAGAGAATGCTCTTTTTGGTGGGATAATTAGTCTGGACTAGGACTGCTAGCTAAATTTGTGACTCAAGGACCTAAGCCAGGCAAAATGCAGTTAAAGCAGGTCTACGATGGTGATACGTGGAACTTTCGACAAGTTCTACCAAATCACATTTTGGAGGAGATAAAGAAAGTCACAAATTGATGAAGATAACAAACTGGATAGGCTTATTTGGAAACCATCCAAGGATGGTAAATTCTCTTGTAAAACTGCTTTTCATGCGTTGAGAAAAACTGGAATCACTTCCATGTCCTCCCAAAGAATATGGCATAAAAAACTTCCCTTTAAGGTACCCTTCTTCATGATGAGGCTTTTGAGAGGGATAACAAGGTTCGGCATTCAAGGCCTTCTAAATGTTATTGTTGTAGAGATGCACAAGAAGATTATATTGCTCACATCTTTTTCTCAAGATGGAAAGCTCAATATGTATGGAAACATTTCAGTCAGAGCGTAGGTATTACTATCTCAAGCAACTTAAAACAGACATTGATGAAATGGTGGTTCATTAAGCCTTTGAATGAGGCGCACAGTTTTGTTCTCCAATGTGTTCCTTCAATTATCTGTTGGGAGTTGTGGAAACAAAGGTGTGCAGACAAATATGAAGGTTCATATACTTCTGTACAAAGCTTGCTAGAGTGAGTGCAATCACTGATAATCATGTTCCTCAAAGTTCACTACAAGGGAATAAAATGGGAATACAACTGGGCTGGAATTTGCAGGTTCCTGGAAGGTTTTAAACCTCCAATGAAAGCTCTCAAGGTGATGTGGTAGACTGAAGCTCAACACAGATGGGAGTAGTCATGTTATGAAAAGAGTGGCCGGTATTGGCGGTATTGTTAGGGATAGGTGGAAAGCTTATCATGGCATATGCCAAGGCTCTTCACTTCTCTACTAACAATACGATGGAAACACAAGCTGCACTTTTTGGAATTGAGCGTGTCTACTTCACAGAGGAACATATGCATTTGGTTCCTTTTATTTATAGAGAAACTTTCAGAAACCACCATGTTTTAGTGGTTATTAGCTAGTTGTAGCTACCATTTACTATATTACTTTCTATAGCTATGTTTTAAGATTTTTTAGAGTGTATTCGATGTATTTAAGCTATTGAATACAATAGCATTTCTAGGTGTGGGGATTACAGCTAGACAGATTTTTGTATTCGACTGTATTCATGGCGTGAAACATGGGATTACAGCTGGACAGATTATTGTATTCGACTGTATTCACGGTGTGAAACAGGGGATTACACTGTTTTTAAACGGAAAGTGAATCAATTAACATAATAGACTCCTAATATAACTCAACAAACTCAATTATACACACAAATTTTGTATTTCCAGTTATAAAAAATATTCTCAACCGAAAAACACCCCAAAAACATCGCAATCTTCAGAGAAAATTATATAATACATCTGAATACATAAATTATATTAATTAAAAAACATATGAATACATTCATGGAATATAGTGAGACAGTGAATATAATGAAATACAAAGAATACAGCGGGATACAATGGAAAAAAAAAAAAGACAACGAATACAATGAAATACATGGAATATAGCGAGATACATTGAAATACAATGAAAAAAAAACAATGAATACAATGAAATACAACGAGATACATTGAAATATATTAACAGAAAATTCAAGTTGCTCAGCCCCCAACTCTGTCGTCTTTGTTCAAGAACAACCCTAATGTCGTCTCGTCAAGAGGGCCGCGATTCTGACTCGAAACACTCAAAATTTGGCGCAAAAGCTAAAGAAATTCCTTATTTTCAATAGCAGATTGTCTTCTTTTGTTAGTAATTGCGAATTTGGTAGATGAAGAAAAGCAGCAATGGAGTTGGTGAGAGGCAAGAGTTGCAGTGGCCATGTCTAGATTTCATAGCAAACCAACGGCCATCAGAATGGGGTGGATCTTTCTCTCTAGGGCTTTAGTAACCAATGCCGGCGGAACCTCCGTCGCCTCTAGCGGTGCTTCAGTGGCCATTGATTTTTGCCTCAACCTTCTGTGCTGATTTTTCACGAATGGAGAGGCGTAATGGAATTGTTGGAAAGAGACTCAGGTTATGGAGCTGGAGTTTTATTTAGAGAAAAATAATAAAAAGAGTATTTTATGGCTTAACGGTAGGAGGTAACCATAAATAGATATTTGGCTATAAAAATCAAAAGGTAGCTATTAAATATAATTTTTTAAAAGGATATTTATTTAAAATAAATAAGGTATCAACCTTTGCTATAGGAGGTAAAAATTCCTTTATTTATTGTATGTTTCTCATTTTGGTTATTAATCTACAGGTAGGGATCTGCCCAACCACCCACCAAAATGGTGGTCTTTGTCTAAAAAAAAAAATAGTAGTAGCATTTATTGGCAAATATGTGGCGTTCACAACATTATCTTGTTTTTGGATGATTGTTCTTCTCATAACAGTAGTTGTATGCACTATGTTATTCTTTCTTTTTTCTTTTTTGTTAATAGTGGTGTTTCCAAGCCAACTTGCACAGACCTCAATTACTCTATCAAGTATTGCTACCTTTCTGACTCGATTACTCTATCCAGTATTGCTACCTTCCACTAGCACAAGTACCGAGAAACTTTGCCTCCGTGGCTGAGGCAGATGGGTAGAATGAATGTACCTTTAATGAAGTGTGTTGGCATAGCAACTATACTTCCTAATCTATATACTCCCTCCGGTTCAAAATAAGTGATTTTTTGGCCTTTTTCTTGTGGTCCAAAATAAGTGATTTTTCCAGATTTCAAGAATGAATTAATTATTTTTTTCCTACATTGTCCTTGGAGTAAATAGTGTTGGAATATGTGTTAGGAGTGTTTATGTGAGATAGTAAAGGTTAATATGGTCAATTCCATTGTTAATTAATGCTAAAAGGTGGATTTCTTAATCTGTGTGAAAACATCCAAAACATCACTTATTTTGGACCGGAGGGAGTATTTAAAGAGAGGAGAAACAAAAGGCGGTTCTTGGAATCTACAAGAGTAACATCTCAATCCAACCAGGCAAACTCTTAAACAGTTAAAACTCATTAACAAATCCAGATTTCAGGTGTACCACTGTAATCTGCACATAAACATGCAATTCCATTGCCAAAAAGCCAAAGTGAAAACTTTGAGGTATTACCAAACCGGACAAGCTCATTAGATGGTCTGATTCTAAGGAACTGTATTGAAGTTGTACATCATGAAGAGGAGAAGCCAAAGAAAATGAAGGATGTGGTCGCCAAAGAGTTCCCTTGAAGAGAAAATCTGCAGGATGATGTTGACAGGAAAGCAGACAGACGAGGCAAACCTCACCAGCTTTAAGACCTTAACTTGCCGATGACTTGGATTCAGTAGCCTTCAGTTCCATACCCCAATAGTTCTTTGGACATATTCGATGCAGCTATCAAAAGGCTGGCACAATATTACTACCGTTCCCTTTCCTCATGGCATATATTTTACAAGAGCATCACAAAGTGCTCCCAAGATCATTGATTACTTCAATGGTTTGTGTGGCTGGGCTACTCTTCAAGCATTTCAAGAAGAATACATAATATTCCAATTTCAGACTGCTGCAACTTGGTCCACCTCATTTTGAAAGATTCCCTTCTCTTGCAAATCCTAGAGCATTGGCAAATATTCTCTTAGCAGCACCAATATGTTCTTCACGAATACTCTCTTTGTTAACCTTCCCTTCCTTTTTCACTTGCATCGAGGAACCTGTCCCATCGGTGTTTTTAGGTGTTATCTTCTTGATATGTGGTGTTTTACTGCCATTCGATATGCTGCTTTTAGTCTTACCACCGGAATCAGGATATTTTGCAGGGGGGGTTTTGACCTCCATATGAGTCTGCTTGCCCAAATTTATCCGACCTTCGTCCTTATGCTGGATATTTACATCCTTGGCTTGTTCTTCACATTCCTCAGTATTTGCATGGTGGATCTCAAGGTTAGGTGGCCTGATTCTTTGGCCAAGTGCATGTGCAATCATACGACGGGCAACCATAGGATCTTTTCGAGGCCTATCTTTCATACATTGTCTTGTCTCACCTTGATCACCAGAAAAAATCCGTTTTCGGGCAGCCAGATATGCCTCTTCCCTCTCCTCAAGGGAAATGTTAAAGATTGGCATTGGTGTCTCTTCTGCCTTTGACTCTGAAATGCAAGAACGGCCAGAAAGTAAAGAGTACTTTTAATCAGCTTGAGCCTAATATAAATATTGCAAGAAAATTAAACTAAGAGCTCTACGAAATTTATTTCTAGGAGAAAATTCTTCATTGCAGTATTATCTTACCAGGATTGTATTCTGTTTTTGAGCGACTATCTATGTGCTACTCTGTTGGCTGGTGCTTATTTTTTAATGTAGTAAAATAATAGCACCATACTTTCGTTTGGTATTTGAGTTGCTATCTCATGCTTATTTGGTTGCTTACCATTTTAGTACTTAAAAAGTGTAAGTTACAAGCGGATTTCTGCATACTACTCATTAACCCCCCCACCCCCCACACACACAAAAAATACATCTTTTATTCTCAAAGTACAGGAGAAGAATAAATGTAGACATCAGTGAGGTATTGTTACTTTTTCCTTAAATTGCATATATACTTCTCCTTCATTGCACCTTTTTTACTAAAGCCCACACCTAAATTGCGCTTAAAGCTCCAATAGACCAAGAGCACTTTTTAGAGCTTTTCGCCTTTGACAGCACTGCTTTCTGGTGACATATACCTTGATGCAAGAATCTGGAGTATGAGGTAGGAAAAATTGAATTTCAGCAATAATGCAGAGACTATCTGCATTATTAGCAAGTTTAAAGGCCAGAAGCAAAAGGGTTAAAGAGTATGAATTGCCTGTTGACTGTTGAGCAGATGGGCTGATTCTGTAGCAAATATTTCAAGTTGTTCAACAACAAACAACAACAACAAATAACATATTTATTGTGGATAGAAACACGTAAGGTATTTATGGAGGTGTCCGATTTGTTGTGTTTATACATAGCTAGTGGTTCACTTCAGCTCATTGCAGGTCAGCGAGGCCACAGTCCAAAAATTGTGCTGCATCAACTTAGTGTTTATGGTTGGAGAATTGCAAGAACATGTAAAAACGATACACTCAATCCAATCAGCTGAAACGCATCAGCCTTTACATGTTCTTGCAGTTCTCCAATCAGACAAGCTATGTTGAGGCAAATACCCAAACCTTTTAATAGCTTACCTTCCTTCCTCTTCCTGAAGTTGAAGCCTCAATAACCTGGCTGTAGTAGATTATATGGTATTTTTTACAGTAAAAATCATTTTGCTCATCTTGAGCTTGACCTCAGTAGAAAAGTGAACAAAAAGCTCAAAAACAAATTGCGGGGCATTTTATACAACAAGAAATTGCACATTGAATGGATCAGAGAAGTTGGGGTTGATTTGAATGCCACATTTTGCCTTGTGCTTCGGGAAATTGTGAAAAATGCATTTTCATTTGTCTGGGCCAAATCATTTTGCTCTACATCTGAAGTAAAATTCATTCATAATGTTTTCCTTAACAACGAATACACTTATTTGTTGATTATATTTCTTGTTTAGCACCGCTCTATTCAAGATAGAACTCACGGGCAATCAGTGCGCGCGCTTTAGAGCCTTGCCTACACTGAAAGGCAGCTTAAGCGAGGCGAAGTGTGCTCCCGAGCTTTTCTGAGCTTCAGGGCTTAAGTGCCTTAAATGAGCCTTTGAACAACACTGCCAGAAAGAAAGAAAGAACGAATGTTGGTTCTGACCCACCAAAAAAGAAAAGATGTTGATTCTGTAAGCAATTGTTCTCTGTCAATCCCAAATGAAGTTGAAATCAAAACTTGTAGGACTTAAACCCTTACATAAGCATCTGTTTTTAAAAAACAGACAAGCATCTTAAAAAAACTTAAATAGGTATTTTGACTTGATAGCTTGTTTTGGACATTAGACTGATTAGGTTCATATGAAAGTGCATGAATATTCTCCAAGTTTTTCAGACAATCATTTCAAGCTTTGATCTGCGGAGCAGTTCTGAAATACATAAAGCTTAGAGCACCTCATATACTAGAAAAGAAACAATACCTTCAGAATCTTCTTTTCTTCTATATATTACATCTACAGTCCTTGGAGATTGTAGTTCGTCATACTGCCACAGGAGATCACTAATGAGAATGGAAGGTCTGCAAATGGAGTTCCCAAAAAATGTTAGAAGACCATGAACTAATAATGACAAACTTTATCACTTAAAGCTCACAATTTCAAGCACTTGGGTGTCACTTCAGAATGAGGAAGGGCTAAGTGCAAGAGAGTTGCATTTAATTCTTGTGACTTGCCCAACAAGATGGGATCTTATAAGGATGCAGTGGTGTGGCCGTTGCTTCCCTAGCACTTGGGTGCACTTCAGAATGGGGAAGGGCTAAGTGCAAGAGAGTTGTATTTAATTCTTCCTACTTGTCCAACAAGATGAGATCTTATAAGGATGCAGTGGCGTGGCCGTTGCTTCCCTTGAAATGATTTATACTATGTTTCTACAGCCGGAGCCGAGAGGCAATAAGAGTGTTTGTGCATGTGTCCAGTGGGTGTGGGTCCTCCGGAGAGCCGGAGACAATCTCAGAATGGGTAGTCCAAATGATGAAAGGACTGCATGGGAGGGTGCGAATTTTCGGGGATACATTTGTACTTTTCCAACTTCTAAGGGTCCTCCCATTGGCTGTGGCGCTTACGTGACCATTAGCTGAGAAAGCTACGATCCCATCATTCAACATATCCACAATCTAAATAGAGCATGGAATGGATGAGGTTAGGTTCCAGGGTACCTGCAGCGACACCTAAGGTGGTTCAAATTCCCAACTTCTAAGAAGTGTCTCATGAAACCATAGCACCGCCACCAACTTACAAATTATTGAGAATGATAATTGAGAGATCAAAAATCCTTATTGTGGCCCTTGCTTGAATGTTGCAACAAAAATGGTTGATTAACCGTTGAGGATCAAGATATTTTGCGGAGGGTAAAAGTAGCGTCGCTGAAAGTGTAGCAGTATAATGATGTACCATAAAAAGAGAAGGGAGAAAGTCCAGGAAAGATATGAGAAAAGAGAAGAATAAAAGAGAGACTAAGAGAAGAAAGAAAGGAGGAGAAGAACAAGAGATTAATATCTTCTTCACTTACCTCGAACAAACTACACATTAGCCCTATCTATATAATACGGAGCCTTTCAACAAGTTGAAAGGCTTGAAACATCTAAGACTGTTATGTTTCACTAATATTACCTCTAACTAATAGTAATAGATAAGCTCTAATCTCTAACTAAGGACAAATTAATATCACAGTAAAATAATGACATATCTCTCTTTTTGAGTTACATCATTCTTCTTCAGTTGGAGAAAACTCGACTACGATGCGTGAGACTATTGGTGCAACTCCAGAAAGATTTCAAATTATTAGAATGAAACTCATTCTCATTGGTCCAGGTTGAATTCTTTTGCAAACTATTAACCTAAGATGACAAATATATTCAGAGCCGGTGACAAGAATTATTGGTGGGTGCTAAAGCTGCAAAGCTGTTGACCCTAAAAGGTCACTTACATTAACATAGCATAAACATGAGATCAAAGATGCTCTAGTTGAATATGTGCTCATGAATTTCAATTAAGAAGTTTAGAACAGATGATAGAGCTGCAATATGAACATTCACATGAGTTTAGGTAGTGCAACTTTCTTGAACGTACATTGATGTCTCTGAGCAACGCTCCAAAACCAAGTGCCTTTCTTCCCCTTCACCAACTGACTGATGAGAAAATCTACCAGAATAAGGCAATTATACACTTGTCAAATAGAAAATACAGTCGATTTAGAAAGTACTCTATGATATAAAGGAACCAACATTCCGAATACAGTTACCCAAAAATATCAGCAAGCCGATGTAAGAGAAGGCGGTTATATGGATTCGTTGGTTCTAGCTCCAAGACCCCATTAGAACTGCATTAAAATACTAGATATAATATGAGTTGCACCACCAGAAAAAAGAACTTAGACATAAACATATTTACCTAAAGTACAGTGAGAAAAAGAGTTATTTCAAGTCAAATCTGCAGAAAATCATTGTTTCCTCACTCCCTTCTCGTGTTGAATCAATTTATAAATACAACACCTACAACTACTCCTCAATCCCATGCAAGTTGAACTCGGCTATATGAATCCTCACTGACCATGTAGCTCCATTTGAACTTTTGAATCAATTGATAAGTACAAAGTCTTTCAAAAGTGTACATTTAAAACATAGAGGGATTCTATAGATAGCAAAATCAATTGGGATAATGAGGCACAAGGTGCAGATACTGTGTGTTGGTATACAATGAACATACAGTAGTATAGGTTAATTGACGGAACTTCAACCCACACAGGCCAAAGCTTAGATTAAAAATGACAACTTATAACATTGCCTAGGCTTGTGGACAGCGGGATAATATATTGTGACAAGTGTAAAAGAAATGAATCGTGGGAAATAGAGGTGCAATTGTATGAGACGAAAGGAAAGATAAAGACAAAAACTCAGAAAGAAACTACCCACTTGTCCCTTATACTCCTTTAACCTTGATTTTTGCCCTTCATATTATTCACAATAATGCAAGAAGTAATTTCTAGCTGTTGGATGATGTCATGGAATACACATATTTTTTAGTCAACTAAATATTACAAGCTTTCGGTGTTAGAGAAAGAAGTCGCATCTTCATAACATCTGTACTTGACTAACTCTTCCTGCTAAAGTACCTTGTATCATCAAGAAGGAAATTGACTAGGGTCTCTTCCATAGATAGGATAAGATGCTTGCAAGGAAGATTATCTTTGATAAGAAAGGCCAGTTCTTCGACCTGCATTGTGGTGATGTAAATGTTATCAAGCCACCTAAAAACACTTACTATTGGAGTACAAAGATTGCCAAAAGGCACAAGGAAAAGAAATAGTAGATTGATTAAGTAAAAGAATGTTAACCATCAAGTAATATCTTAATTGATGCTAATTCATACAATTAAGGCAAAGGCACCAACTAAATCACCAGAAGATATTGATTGCATGCGTTAAGTCTTTATAATGTTGGTCCTAATGGACTAAACAATTTAATTAGCTATCACCTGAGTTGTTGTACTAAACAAGGTTATATGTTAGGGTTGTTAGGTAACGAACAAGAAAAAATATAAACATGTGCATACCAAAGTCAATAAGAAACATATAGCAGAGTGCGGGAATTACACGTGTATGAGTTCATTTAACGGCTAACAGTTTCTTTTGGGTGCCCATAATCTATTAAAAATTGTACAATCGCAAACTAGGCATCTCGTGCAAAAATATATGGTTAACAATACAATCAGATCATCAAATTATGAGGTCGAGAATGCTCTCCAAATAATATTTGCAGTATGTGGCATATTATGTTCTTAAATTAATAATCTTTCATCCAAACTGAACATTTATTTTCCTATATTAAACCATCCTAACATAATATCCATTTTCCATTAAAATAAAAATATTTCGTAGCTTAAAGCGAGACGGCGCGAGGGGTAATCGTTTCATAGGCGAAGTCAAGCGCTTCAGAGAAGTGTCCGCTTCAAACAATGACGCGCAAAGTGATTCCAACAAGTTGTTGTCGACTCTTTGAATCTCAACTTTGAGGAGATGGATTAATATCAGCATTATCATATATTGGATGTTGAAATTAGATATTTTTATTTAAATTCATTTATTATAGTGCTAATACAGATATGCCTAGTACTTTTTAATTTTCCAAGAATTGTGCACTTCACTTCACAGAAGCAAACCTTTATTTCTTGCTTTTTCGCTTCAAGCCTCGTTACTTCTAATAACACTGTGAGTTCCAGTTAGATTCTTACATCACAATGTATAGTTCCAAGAATTTTCTTTGATAACCGAGAAATCCCTCGGGCCAGTAGTACACGGTTCGAAACTCGGTGGATGATGGACTAGGCCTTTACCCTTCTCCACTTAAATACCAGGTTTTTGTCTGCGCCATGATTCGAACCTGTGAATTGCGCCAATCCACACATCACTTTTTCTTCTCTTACCACTAGACAATAGCCCTGGGGGGATCTAGTTCTAACAACTTTCTGTCAACATAAGTTTCAGACTTCAGTAAAATTGGGCTACTCTTGAAATAATTTTTACTAATTTCTTCCTACACAACAACTTTCTCCCATTTTACTCAAAATTAAACTACCAATTACCTTCTTTTCCCACAAAATACTAAGCAAAAACATATTTTTTACAGATGAATCATTCCCCCTGAACCAACAATAAACCCTATATCAAACACCATTTTTCAATACGGGTAAATAACTTGTAAATTCAAAGCAAATAAAATTCTACAAATTTAATTAAATCTCACACTTATCCCCAACCTAAATGATTTTCACAAATAATCAATTAAATATTAAAAAGAACAGAATTTTCATATATCACGGGGGTGCAAAATTACTTACCATGGCGAATTCTGTAAGACTCATAGTTTAAGATGAAGAATCGTAAAGGGTGTATAACCCACAAATTTTCTTGGATTTCTTTTCAGTCGATTTTGAACGCAATATTTTAGGATTTCGTGCAATAACAATAACCGATCAATACAAAACTTCCCAAGAATAAGGTCACTTTAGTACCTAAACTTAGGAAATATGTCCAAATTTGTCCTTGTACTATCTGAAATTGCTCTACTTTTCTTGCACAACTGTAATATTAGATCGAAAGTTTAACCGATAACAAAATTGAATAATTTTAAATAATATCTAGGTAAAATTGACAATTTTTCCTAGTCGAGTTTGCCAATGTTACAAATTACTCTCTCCATTGTTTGAAAATATGATTAGCTCTTATTATTTGTCTTTTTTGTGTTACACTAGGGAAAAGTAAAATGTGACTAGATAGTTAATAAAATTGAAATAAAGAAAAAACTAAGATGTGTAGAGATGAAATTATGACTTCTTCAGAATGTTTTTAGGACTCAACTTGGAGTTTCATAAAGTTGGTTTTTAGATTGTAACTTAAAGGAAATATTATTTCAAATTAGTCATATCACATACTTTTTAAACTAACAATAAATTGATTTAAAGAATTGTTACCAGAAAATAAAAACAAGGGAGGTTAGTGTAATATCGTAAATCATAAGGGATGTCAGTTTTATGAAGCAAAATCTAAGGGGAGATCTCTGAAATTATCACTTAAATTCAATACTCATTAGCTATATACTATCGGAAATCTACTGCTTCCACTAGCAAAGGTGCCAAGTAATCCCAACAATAGGAAGAAATCACCTAGTTTATTTGTCTCTATTGGAATTTGAATCATGAATTTTAAAATTTTTACCCATTTTATTGACTACTAAACCACACCCCTTGACTGAATATAAAATTTTAACTAGTAAAAACAAACTTTTAAGGTAACATATGCTTATAAGTTCATTTTTATGTTAAATATCACTCGTATTAGTTAGCTCATAATATGTCATTTAAAAAGCTAATGAGATTTGGGGGGGGAGGAACTACTGAGATGCATTTATTTAGTTGTCTAAACTTAAATGGTTAATTGTCTTACTATACTAAATTTGAAATATAAGCTTAGAATTATTTGTCATATGTTGCATATTATCTAATGATTGACACTTTTTAATTATACAGACAAGTCAGTTTGATTTCACAAGTTGTAAGAGGGTTTCTGAAAACAATTGGATCCATTTGGAAGGGTTCTTTCTTGGTTACATGATATATTGTTATGCCCTCAAACATCAGAAAACATATGCAACACCCAGTGTTTACACTAAACAACATTAAATTTGTCATGGTTAAGTAATAAATTAGGATGAGAACATGTATTTAACTATATGGTGAAGTGATAGGAAACTGCAAAAATATATGTCATATGTTCATTAGGTTGGTGTAAATGGATGTGTATAAGTTTTTGACAGAAAACATCTGTGGTTATACATTATGGTTACAGTATAATGCTCTCCTTTCACTCCATAGAGAAAAGAATGTGTGGTTTTTCATTTAGAGACTGTAATAATACAGGGCTAAAATCTGTTGCTTTGAGAATTCTGATTCCTGAAGACAAAAGGTCAATAAAAATCATCTACATCCTTTAAGAAAAAGGGACACCTTTCTCAAGTTAACAAACATATAATCTTATGATGAACATTCAGCCAAATCTGGATTTTCATTTGTTGAAATATTGACACCAAGGAGAGACAAGTCCTTGCGCAACAAATCTGCATTCTTGAATTGAAGGCCGTTGAGTCCTACTTCAACTGCAGCTTCAACATTTCTCATCCTGGATGATCATGACATAACTCGTGTGAGAAATTTACATTGAACAAACATAGACGTTATAGCTTCTGCATGAGACAAGACCAAGTGATAGTTGGAACTTTTGCAACCCAAGCTCCTATAATGAGTAGATGGAACTGCATTTTCATGTCTAAAGATGAATAGAAAGCTTCAGTTCTTTCGGATATACTAAACTCGACAATAAATTCTTTATTATACATCCAACCATTAATATTCTTAAAATTAGAAACATGATGTACAAGGACATGTGATGCGTCCAAGCATAGACTCCGTCTATATAGCTACATTATGGAAAACTCATTGAGGCTGAACTTGAACTTGTGGTCAAGAGATAGCTGTTAAGGGATGTACGGATTCTCGAGAAGAGAGGAGTCATGGTAGCCCCCCACCCCCTTAATTAAAAAAGCAACATGGTTTTAAGGGGAGGTACAGAGTGGGCCTATTAAGGATGGTATAATACTTTCATTACTCAAGAAAGAAGAAAAGATACAACCAGCGATAAGAAAGCAATAAGCTGCAATCAATTCCTATTGACTGTTTCCTTGAACCCCTTATCTTCGGTTTTCATAATTTACATTGATCTCAGCCTCTTTAGCTATAATTACATTTACAGCATTCTTTCTTCCCATCAGGTTTCCCCTTTTAACCATGTTGAGTCATCAAAATAGTTGTGGAAAGTAGTCAAGTGTACCTAGGAGAGAAGATATATTTTGAGGCTGATAGCCTCTGTTACCTGTAGTAGAATTATATTGGATCCATTAAGTGGCTATTTGGGCAATTGTTGTTAGCTTCATGTATATTTGTCTCTTATGTGAACCAGAGTAAAGATATTAGACATTTCACAAAGGAAGATTCATTTTAGGAGATTCAGTTAGAGATTTCCAAGCCCTACTCAGACTGCACTTTCTGGGAATACATTAAATAGGTATTTGAGCCAGATTGAGAGAGAAATACTCGTCAGAGAATCCATATATACTGTATATACCATCTGCAATGATTTACAATGTTGAGATTTACGTTAAGTTGGAGACCTCACACACACACACACACAAAAGGAGACTGCTTCAGTTGGATTACATTAGAAATTTCTTTTCCTGTGTGTAGATTGCTAGGAAACCTCCAATCATTCAATGTTGCCTGGGAAGTAAGCCTCAAGATGATGGAGACTCAGTTTGGACCAGCAACTCACAAGTTCGAGGAAAATAAATGACTGTAATATTATAAGAGATTCTTCCGGAAACAGCCTCTCTGCCTTCCAGGGTAGGGGTAAGGCTGCATACATCTCACCCTCCCCAGACCCCACTTGAGGGAATTTACTGGGTTTGTTGTTGTTGTAATATTATAAGAGATTCTAATCTTGATTATGCCTTTTCTTCATTGAACAAGATTAGAGATGAAGATAATAAATAAGTCCATGACTAGCAGACCAAGTAAAACCATCTGAAATTGGCATATAGGACAAGGCCCCGGATAGCTTGCTTTGGTATCAAAGGACCAGAATTTTTACTTTGTGCCAAGTTCTCGGAAGAAAAAATAAAGATTCAAGACCGCAATAAACTGGTAATTAAAGGAATCGAAATTTGATTATCATTTAACAAATGTTTATTAGCATAAATAAGTAATTATATGCCACTTACCTTATTAAATATTGATGCATTATTAATAGTTATAAAGACTTAAAAGCAAATAATATTAGTGACATACCTGTCATCAACAAAAATACAGCTAGAAGCTTCTACATTGAGATGCTTTACAACTTCTAAATAAAAATCGGGATCAGGCTTGCGTTTTCCTGTTAACATAAAGAGCTGAAAAAATCAGGTCTATGCTCCAATTGAATTCACACTTCATATTATGTCTTGCACGTCACAACTCCGCAAGTTTAGGGTTTCAGAACTTTTCGAGAAGGAACAAAAGCGGAGGATCCAAAATTTCACAAATTTGAGATACAGTAGTACTACACAAAAAAGGATAAATCAATCAGAATTTCGAAATCTAAGGCTAGCAGACAAATTATTGTTGAAGTGTGTAACTATCTCATCTAGAAGCTTAAGCTGTTAGAGAGAGCACACTTTTTATTTATTTAATTATGTCTTCAACACGTCCCCTCACGTGCGGGGTGGATTTTTTGTTTTATGAGCCAAGCACGTGAAAATTCTTTTATGTTAGAGAGAGCACACTTTTTATTTATTTAATTATGTCACACACTATTTATTTATTTAATTATGTCTTCAACAGTTATAAAACAGCAGCTTTGACTGTACGACTGAACCTATTAAACTTGTATAATACATTTAGACAGATATTCAACTCACTATCTATCGAAACATGATATATAGAGGATAATATTCAGTTAAACTATTGTAAACACTGAAATGGACATGTCCATCCATTGGTTCTCACTAAAAATCCTGACAAAAAAAGAAATTCGAAATTGTCTCTCAAAAGTAGAAGAATTATTAAAGGTCCAAACTCCAACGCAGACTAACTTAAAAAAGCATATAAATTAGGACTACAAGTGAAAATCTTTAAGTAGTTTGTTTTGTCTCAAACTTCTCTTTCTGGTCAGCATATCTTCTTTTCCATATTTCTACTCAAGTATCAACTATCAGGATGTTGATTGTTGAAATATTAATTGTGTAAGCATCCCAAAAATCGGCATATGCAGGAATACATAAGGAGCCAGCCACATCTACAATGAAACATTATTCAAACAGAAGTCCAGAGACAGAAAGAAAGCCTGTGAAAATTACCAAATATACAGGAACAAAATGTCCAAGATAGGTAATTTGAGAGTTTTAGCTTGTCCTCAATCATTTGGTACCTGGAAAAAGAACAAAGTTTGACAAACTTGAATGTTTCGCAAATTAACAAAGGTTTGATTGACCATACCAGATGGGATAATTTGTGAAAGCATGGATTTCATATCCATTTTCTTTCAAAGAATTCAATAATCCTTCAACACCTTCAATATAGGAATATGCTCTTTGCATACAGTTTTTCAGGCCTGGAAAGGATAAATAATGGTTCTCAGTTTACAAACAACAGAAAAGATGCTAATAGCTTGAATAAGTTGCAATGAAAACATCCTTAGCCTACATCAATCACAATAACACAGAGACAAAAGAACAATCAGGAAATGAGTATAGGCTCTTCCTGGGAAAATAATTGATGGTATATTAATTCATTATAAATCAGTTTTTAGCATTGGGGCCCATTCTGCACTTCCTAAAAAACTCTATACATTCATACAAGAATAAAAGGTTGAGGCCTGGCCTATATCTTATTCCATTTAACAATTTTATTACAAATTTTGTATCTGATTGTCATAACAGGAAGTGAGTACAACAGATAAATTTACTGAGGCATAGCAAAAATGATCATGAGTACGTAGCATCAAAGCCAAAATTCAATGAATAGGCAGTCTGAAACACCTAGAAACTAAGGATAATAATCAAGTTAATACTGGTGCGTGAATATTCAAAATCCACCAAATCAACATAGCTACCTCCTTCAAGATGATGCATACCTGGATCCAGGTTGTTATCTTTCATTTTAGTATGCATGCTTTCCAACTTTTTTGGGTCCAGATTAAATGAGGAAAAGCATACAGAAGTCAAGTGGCTCATATAAATTGGGAAGTATATGATAGTATATGAGCTAATATATATATATATATATATATATATATATATATATATATATATCCATATATAAATGCTGCCAGCAAGTACGGAAACAAGTTTACACCTCTTTGTAACAAATCAGCTGTAACATTCAAAAAAGATCTGCAAGACCCCTCAATGTATTCTGCTATTCATGTTAGGCCTCTTTTTGGGTGATAAGGTGATGTCTACCTACCTTCCAAATCAAAAGGTCTTCCATCCTTAAAGAATCTCCGAGCACACTCACCCTGAAAGAATATTATAACAATCTTTTATAAAATAAAAAAATTTAAAAAAGTAATCCAAGAAAAGCCAGGAAAAGGACCCACTTTCCAGTTCAACTATCAAAACAGCAAACGGGGCTGAATATGTTGCATATCCTTTTTCCTTGAGACCGTCAATAGATGCCAAAAGGAAATGGCTTGCAAAACTCAAAGAGAGACTAGCATACACAAGCACATACAAAAAATAAGGAAGAGGATACAAGTTTTACAACTTAACAAAACAAGGGTGATCTTTTAACTCAATACATTTTATTTGTGTTCCTTTTTTTCCCTTGTCTTTGAGGATGTCAAAGCTCTTTGTTCAAGACTGTATACAGCTCACTCTTATATTAACACATAAAAGAGCGCTGAGAGACAGGATTCCAGTACATGGAAAAATGGCTAGATGCCCCTAAGTGAAACATGCATAACAAATCAGATTATATTTGACATAGTTGAAAAAGAAAAAATAGTTATCATTGTTCAAGACAAAAGCGAAATACGCCTCTGTATATCTAGCTACCTGAAGCAGCTACATTACAAACACTCCTCAATATACCTCAGTGATAAGACCCTTCTCAAACTCAATCCAGGTAGTTGGATGCTTGCATTCCAGCAATTCTTTCATCGGCATTCTGAATAAAAGATCTCAATTGGAATCAGGACAAAAAAGAGTTAGAAGCTAAAAGAAGAAAAAAAGAACTAGTCTGGTTTGAACAGAAGTAATGGAAGCAAGAAAAAGTGTAACCTTTTCTAATTGCTACATCTTGCTGTTTTTCCTGTACAGTTTTCCTCTAATTGGAAAAAGAGTTACTAAAGTCTAAAGTTTGATCCTGTATGGCTTAACTAGCACAACCAAATCAACTTTACACCAATCAATTATTTCTACTCTCCCTATCGAGATGGTGATTCGTTATCATCCATTTCACAGTGAACATTCAGCCACCATAGCACAAAAGTCAAAACCCCATCTGCTAAAACTAACCATTTTTTAAACATATAACGATTCTAGATTTGATTTTTTCCACATAACATCCATATAGCATATCCCAACTTTGTTTGGGGTTGAGGTGTAACCGCAGGTGGATGTAAACATATGCGTTCAGCAGAACCTAGTAACTTTAGCCCAAACACTGAATATGTGTAAAGAAAGCTTTCATCCACTAAATATGTACAAAAGTAAAATTCAGAACCCGGTACTAGCACTTGAGGTCGTTGTCCTATAATCCAAAACCCATAAAGTTCAAACCTTAAATCCGTTTGGGTGTAATTACTTTCATATTGATTGAAAAATCAAGACTTCCAGCATAACAAGGCAACATATCAATAGGACCTTTACCATACCACAAGTATCCGAAAACTAGAAAGAGCAAGTGGGACAACCATGAGGTCTGGGTTTAAATACTAGTGGAGACAAAAATACTCGGTGATTTCTTCCCATCTGTCCAAGCCTCCCTTTCTTCTCGCAAGAACGGATCCTCGATGGAGAAGTAGAAGCATTGTTCCCCTCCGGTAAACTTGCTTGTGTCTGAGTTACCCGGTACCTATGTTGGTGGGAGGTAGTACATACCCCGTGGAATTAGTCAACATGCACACAAGCTGGCCCCGACTCTACCGCTATTTAAAAAAAGGTATAATCTTTGCCAATAGGTATATCTTTGTGTTTCTCCTGTTCAATTTTCCTCTAATTGGAAAAAAGGGTTACTAAAATTTGATGTTTGTATTTCACCCTTTAAATAATTAGTACTAGAATATACTTCAACATAAATCAGATGTCAAAGTGTAATTAAGCTTAACTAGCAAACAAAGTCAAAACCCCAATCAGCCAAAATTAACACTTTTTCATACATATAGCAAATTCAAGAATTGAGGGGAACTCAATTAGAGCAGAATGGCAACATAAGATTCATATAGCCGATCCCAACTTTATTTTGGATTGAGTCATAGTTAATTCATATTGACTGAACAATTCCAGCATAATAAGGCAAACATAAAAATGAACAGAAGTATCATAAAAAAACAAGAAACAGCAAGTAGGGGGTGCAGATAGCAAATACCTAAAGAAGGCAGGGATCTCATTGTAAAAAGGGTCACGAACAATAGTGTCCATAACGTCAAAAAGCAAAATGGGAAGCTTCCTTTGACTTTGACCCGCCATTGTTGAAGTGACACTGCAACTAATGTTGTTATTGAAAAACCCCATTTTTGCAGATTTAGGAGATGTTTTTTTCACTATGAAAGGGAAACTGCTAATGTTAGAAGCAGATGGTCTCCAAGATATCAATAGAGCCATTTAGAATTTGGATTCTTTTGTTTCTGCAAGATAAAGGTGTTTTTTTTTTTTCTTTTTTTTTTTTTCCTTTTTATTGGCTGAGGAGGAATTTTATTCATTTGTGTATTTTGCAGTTATAATTTTGGTTGTCAATTGATTGGCCTTGAGGTCTCATTCCAATAATGGATGAAATTGGAAAAAATGAAAAATAATGGACGAAATTGCAGTAAAAAGACAATATGGATCGCTTTCTATGAACGTTGGATTTGGTTTGGGTGTTTCTCTTTTCTTTTTCTTTTTCTTTTCCTTTTTCTTTTTTCTTTTTCTTTTATTCCTTTTGAGATATTTGTCTAATTCAACATACATACTATCATTATCTATCTATATCTATATTATTATAAAAGCATGAATAAAATGTTGGATTACATTTTATATTAAGCATAATAACTCAGAATAAAAGGACGTAATTGAAATTCTAGACATTAGCCTTGTAATCCTATTAATTTTAGGACATAATACTACAAGTTATAAATCCTACATAATTACCTTTAGAATCCTATTATCCTTCAAATATTTTCAAATCTGTTGGATAGAATTGTCAAATTTATGACTTTCCAAAAATTTAGACATTGATTTCAATTAAAACTTCGTGGAATTTTTTTAACTTTTAACCACTCAAGTAGATTCCCATAAGAATTTAAAACAAATTCAATTATTCCTATAAGAATTAGAAGCAAGAACGAGACTTTAATTTATTAGGTGTGGGAGTTCTTTTTCAATTGAAGCTATCAATAGTAATATTATAAAAATAGAAAAATAAGTATTAAAAAGATTTATTAGTTTCGGAGATAGATATATAATACCACATGTTAGCATGTAAACCTAATACCTTTAGGAACATGTTAGATTTCCTATTAGTATAATTACTTTCGGAATATGGACATATTTTTAGCCATGTAATTCTATTACTTTTAGAATGTACTTCTTATTATTATAAAAACAAGATAGACCAAAACAGCCCTAAAATATTAAACAGAAGAACTCATAGGAAAAAGACATAACTGTAATAACTTTTTTTTTTGGACTACAACAACTTCTATGTTAATTTTTTAATATTTAATATTTTTCCTCCATATTGGTAATACATTACCGCTCTATCAAATACCAAAAAACAAATAAAAGTAATATTAAAGGTACTGCATAAAGCGTTGAGATTGAGAAGAAAAAACTCTCACGATAATATATTATTATATTATATTTGAACTGCTTTCCTACTTAAATAATATTTTGATTATTATTAATTTTTCATGTAATATTGAAAAATATACCCAATTATTAAAGAACAACTAAGAAAGTTTTTAAGACCGTAAATGTGTGAGAAAGAGAAAGAAAAATGTTGGAGAGTCATACCATTAATGATTTTGCAAACATAAAGATCTAAAAGTGTAATGTCAAATCGATCTTTGTACTCTTTGAAAATAAATTTATGGTAGATAAAATTATAATTACGGGTAATTTTTTTTACATGAGATAAACTATTAGGAATCTGAATCAACAGAAATAAATTATTTTTATTGTTAAAATAAATAATCAAAATCTTATAATTAATTATTTAGCAAGAGAATCCAACTAAATTATTTTTTAATTCATCATATGAGTACAATTATTTTTCAAGTTAAAAAAAATCTTATGGTACATAAATTTATTCCATAAAAGAGTGTTAGAAATTAAAAAAATTAGATCACAGAGTAAAAAAGATTAGTATAATATTAAGAAGGCCATACAAGTGTTTGAGAAAGCACAATCAAAGCAAAATACTGAACAAGAATAAGCTTTCAAGACTACATTATAAAAAGTTGACTCTGGTATAGCGGGATTATCCTTTATAGATTTCTCCGGTGGAATCAAAATAATATTCATATGTCATGCATTACTTGTAATTGTCAGATCAAGAGGCATGCTATTGTTAGCAATTAGAACAAATGGTGCACCATCAACAATTTTATTATTAGGTCGTACAACTCACTTTAGATTTGATATACCTCTTCAAATAACTGAAATAACCGTCACAAATATATCAAAGAAGAGAAATAGTGCTAAAAATTTAAAGGAAATCAAAAGTGATAATATGGGACGAAGCATTTTTGGCTAAGCGTCAAACGGTCGAAACATTTGCCTAGAGTTTTAGAGAATATATTGGATATAAGATGAACTGTTTGGTGAAAAGTAAATAGTTTGAGAGGTGATTTTTGTCAAGTACTATAAGTAGTTGCAAAATTGACGAAAGCAGAAAGTGTAAAAGCTAGCTTGCCAAAATATATACTTACGGCCTCAAATGAAAAAATATTCAAATGACAAGAAATATAAACATAAGAACAGATCCAACATTTGTCGGAACCGAAGAAGTGCATCCAATAAAAGATGATTTGATTCTTCTAGAACACTTGGTTATCAACCTAACGGTAATAGTAGTGCATTTAATAAAGGAAAATATGTCCATCATTAGAATTAAAACGCAATTTGTGCAAATTACATGATAGAAATTAAAGAGCTATCTTAGCTAGCAAAAAATGAATATATTGATTAAACTAAAATAAAGGTTGATTGCTAAGTTTTATGGTAAAAACAAAATATTTTTCAGTTTTAACTCGCAAAAGATACCAATAATTACTACCAAGAAGAATACTTAAATGCTTAATACCAAACGGCCGTCTAACGTACATGTTTTTTGTCAAGTTCATTATTTCTTACGTATGTTAGTGTCACCATATATATATATTAGACTAAGTTAAAATTGATCTTCCATTGCATATAGGTTGATTTGAAGAAAAAATATGTCCGTTCTGCTACTAAAAACTTAGACCGGTGAATAACTTATGTAATACACATATGGTATATAGAAGTTTTGACAATAACGTCATACATGCAGAACTTATGATAATGTCAATGTGCTTCTAAAGTATGTGTTTATCCCGAATTCAACTTTCAGCTTCCGAAAACTAAAGAATATCCTTTTAAATGTGATAATAATAATTTTTAGTATGTTTATGTTTTGTAGTTATTTAAATAAGCACAAGGAACAAACATCCTAAATATTGGACTATATTTACAATAATATATTTTATTCCACGAATAACTATATGTTGCACTTTCAAGAGAGATATTAACATCGACAATAACAATGCTGGTTATGGCAGAGCAACCAAAGTATTAGAAGGAAACATACACAAAAACAATATCGTCTATAAAAAAATATTCGGTAAGATACCATCACATTAGATACCTTTAAGCTACAATACATAATTTTCTAAATATGACTAAAATTGATCATTTGTGTAAGTTGTGATGATATCCTTTAATTTTGAATGCACATATTATACTAATGTAACAATATTTTTGGCATTTAGATAATTTTGTTATTTATTATATATAAAATTCTTCCATTAATTAAATTTATTGTTCCTTCATATAATAAATATTTAAACAATCATGTGCTATAAATAAACTTCCACATCGTACAAGTTGATTTTGAAGCAAAATAAATTCATCGTATTGTTAAGAAACTTAGATACGTCAAATAGTTTATGTAATAGTATAAGAATAATATGTAGAAATTTTCACAACAATGTTATACATGCAGAAATTCTAATAGGTCAATGTACTTTCAAGCATGCGTTCATCCCCAGAATTCAGCTTTCGCCTCTTGAAAATGAAGAATATCCTTTCAAATTTATCGAAAAATAATTTCAGTACACTTGTGTTTTGCAATGGCAACAAATAAAGTACAAGGGGGAATAATTTCAAATGTTGAACTGCATCTGCCACAACATATTTTTTTTCGCACGGACAATTATATTACTGCATATTTAAAAGGAATATCAATATTTACAACAAACTATAAGTATATAATAATATTATCTTACTAACATGACTAAATTGATCGTTTTTGCAGGTTCAGATAACGATGTCCAATCATTTTGAATTTACGTCTTATGCTAATGTAATGATATTTTTCGATATTTAAATAACCGTCGTATTCTATATAATTCTCTGATTACTTAAATTTCATGTTCTTTCATAAAAGAATTGCCAAAATCATTAGGTACAACTTTTAACGTGCAACGCACGTTCATAGAAACTATTATTATAAAAGCACGAATGTTAAAACGCTAAATGTTGAACGACCAAAATATCCTCAAAATATTGATTGACTTTTATGTCCTTTGAAAACTATTTCAAAGTACGAATAAGTTTATATCGGATAAAATTATAATTACATGAATTTTAATAATATGATTGCACTAGAACTCTAAGTTCAGCAAAAACTATGATTTCGAACAGTAACTTTTAGCCAACTTCAAATCTATTTTTGGAATTTTGAACCAAATAGATCTCTTTATTAATTTTACCCCATAAGAACTACGTACCCTTCAAAATACTCAATAAATGGTCGAATTAGCTAAAAACAAGATAATTCAATAGTGAACGTCCTCATAGATTTACTACTTTCTGACGTTACTATTTGCCTACCGTGTGAAAAATTATATACAGAATAAAATATCTAAATAGATCCCAATTAGTCGAATTGCTACAAGTAAGCATTTAATATTTAGACTAAAAGTATTACCTGGTGAGAAAGTAATGATTTTAGAGGTGAACCATCAAGTACTACCAATAGTTCGAAATTTAATGAGAATATAGACTATAGATACAAGCCTGATAGAATAATACTTATGACATCAAATGGAAATAATTCAGCTAATAAAAACATGAGAACAAAAATAGATCCAACATTCAGTAATTTCTTACTTCATTTCGAAAACTGAGAAAAGCATATAATAAGAGAATTTGGTCATTCAATTAGAACAATTCATTGTCAAGCCCAATGATGACAGTAATGTTAAAGGTTGCTTAATAAATAGAATATTTATATCATCAAATAAAAATTTGTGCAAAAATACATGACGGACAAAGTAATCTTAGCTAGCACAATATGTCGATCAGTCAAATGAGATATTGATTGTCAAGCTCCCTAATGAAAGTAAAATATATTTTGGTTTTAACTTCGCTTAAGATGATACCAGCAACTATTACTAGGACGAATACTTAAATACTTAGCAACACATAACCTTTCACTACAAAAGTTCCTTGTCATAGATAATAACTTAACAATCGAATGAGTA